TTATGATGTGCTTATTTGAATGAAAAAAGGGTAAGGGATCAACTAGAAAAGATGGTAAAGGATTAGTAAATGAGGGATTTTCCGGGAAATAGTTCAAAATTTGGTACGGATCTTTTAGCGAAGACTAGAGTGACATTTTTGCTTTTGTTAGAAAAAATGAAGTTTTTGTAACAGTAATCTTTGGAACAGCGATCTGAACTAGAACTTGACTACAATTATATGAAAGTTGATAAGACTCTAATCACATCAGCTGATCTGAATGTAAAAAAAATCTCGCATCATCAGATAAGCAACTCAAGTTTCAGAATATTTCACACTACAAAGATTTGTCAACAAATAAGCAGATTAAATGAATGCAGAGTGAGTATGAAAAAGCGCAACGATTTGTGACTCATGGGTAGGCACCACAACAAAATTTTCAAAATAGATTTTACCCAGTTTTTATTGTTGGATTGTCTTCTCCTACTTTACAGAAGTCCATTCCCAAAATTTCAGCGAAAAATCTTCATTCAATCCCGAGTTACACACCATTTTGTATCAGACCTCAATGTACTGACTTTCTCCTCATTTTTTTGCGGTGCGCAGAAAAGTGGGCGGTGTTTAGAAGCTTGCAATACTGCGGCGCGGAAAATTCGTGAAGGAAATTAAAGAAAAAGCTATTAGACGCGAGAGAGACCCGAACCTCCGCCTGCGTCAGATCGGCGCGCGCACCCACTATCCAGTCGGCCACGGCTGCACTCGCGGTGGTAGCTTTAGAGGGAAAATATGAATGTGCGACTCTTCGCTGCCTGCTGCCTTCTTCCGGTGTTGCTTTCTTCCTATGTTTTAAAGAAATTGATCTGTGAATGATAAGGAAACAGACGTATAACACATTAAGGGCGTCGATAGAATTTTTTAATTATAATTGCTCTTAGTGGCAAATTTTGCGTAGAATCTTATGGTGAAAAGAAAATCGGTGGCGCTCACCTGTGTCACCTTCAAAACTTCCAAAAACTGAAAATTTTGAAAGTTTGGAATTTTCGGATGAGTATCAAAACTACTTAGATGTATCCAATCTTTCTAAAAATTGGCAGAAGTATACACAAGACTTAGTTTTACCATAATATGCAAAAAAAAATTGGGGTCATCGCTGAAATTTTTTATTTATTTTAGCTGGAACTTTGGCTGAAAATTGTGGAACAAGGGCGTCGTTAGAATTTTGATTTTATTTCAAAATCCAATCCCCCAGTTCATAAACTATCAGAATCCATTAAAAAATCTAATGGCGCGAACTTCCATCCAACACTTTTAGTCCACTTTGTCAGTCCCACTTCTATTTTTCGAAGTTTTCGAATCAAAATAATAAAGTTATCGAAGAACTGATAATTTCATTGGATTCAGCGTAGTCGATTACATAGGGACAAGTTCTCACCAAAAAAATAATGGGTTTCTAACGCCCGGTACAAGCCTTCAAAGATGGATTTCTGAAAAGGGGAGAAAAATTTGGTCGCCCCGCCCCCTTTCATTGCGGTGCCTACTCATGGGATATGAATGAGAGGACACATTTTGGAGGAAGCAGAATGTTTTGCAACATTTGTAGTAGGAAAGAGGAGAAGAAGTGGAAGAAAAAGGCGTGAACGGAGAAGAGGAAAATGTGGAAGGGAGAGAAGAGAGGATTTATGGGGATATTTGTGTTTCAGTTGGGAATGTTGAGGGAAGGCATTTTTGGGTGGAGTGGTTTATTTTTGGAGTTTTGGGGTTTTAGAAGAAAGGTGATTTTCTGACCGGAAAATTAACTTTTTTTAAAGGAAATAAAACGTCACGAATACCGTAGATATCAAAATCATCCATTAAAAGATAACAATGAAACAGCAAACACTTGTTAGAAAAAATGCCTTGAACAAGAGCTGTCATGTAATTTTTTTTTCAAACGATTTCCCTTTCCAATATGTTGATTCAGAGTTCAACGATGATGACTGTTTCAGTATGTGTTCATTGAGATCTGGTTAAACTGAGATCTGGTAAAACTACTGAAACAGTAAACAAAATTCGAGAATGTTCAAGTCGTGAATTAGGACTAAAGATCAGTTTGACCACTTTGACTATTTTTCGGAATCTAGTTGTCGACTGTCAAATTTCTGACCACTTTGAAAGTTTTGGAAGGTGTAAAACAACCTAGATTGGAAACTTTAAATTCACTGAATTTTTTGTACCTTCCTAGTTTTTCCGCTATTCGTCGATTTCTAAAAGACATCTTCTTTTCAGGTTTTCAGTACAAAACCGAGGTGTCTTTGGGAAATCGGCAATTGACTGAAAAAGAATTTCCAAAAAAATCTGTGAATGCAAAATTTCCAACCTAGGCTTGTTTAACACCCTCCAATGTCTGCAAAGTGATCGGGAACTTGACAGCCAATCTACAGACTCCTGAAAATGACCGAAAATCAACTGAAAAATACATTTCTGTATATCTTGGCCGGTACTGTAACTTTTACATTTTCAAACGATTTATCTTTCCGAACTTTTGGTTCTGGTTTTCATAATAATGCCTGTTTAACTATGTGTACATTAAAATGTGGTTGAAATTTTCTTGATTTTTCGATCATTAAGTTTACAGGGAGAAAGGCGGCCCTGCTTTTGCCATCTTGCCTGTAACTTGCGCATTTCGCCTACAATTAAGCCAAAATTCATAGGAGTAAGTATAAGAAAAGCTCCTAACTTTTAAAAGAAAAATATAAGAAAAGCTCCTAACTTTTAAATTTGAGCCAATTCATCTTGGCTCCACTCAAAAGGTAGGATAAAGTTTTCAACTTACAATATGTTTATCATAAAATCACAAACACTATCATTAACACACTTTCAATATCTTTCATAGAAACCAATAAAAATTGGCTCAAACTTGACTTATTTTACGGTAACTGTTTCACGCGTAGCTTATGTTGTTTAATGCTCCACAAAGGATAATAAGTAGATTGGAAGAAACTGCAAAAATCTCCAAGAGATCGAATGCTATTTTCGAATGTTCTGTTCTTGACTCTCTTCTTCTCCTCCTCATTTTTTCTGGTGGCAAATGTTTTGAGAAACGGAAAAAAAACCGACACTTAAAAATGACACAAACTGCTGCTTCAACTCGTCAAAACGATGAAATCGAAAAGAAGAGAAAAAGAGCGAATGTTCGGTTTTTGTTGCCATTTCGAATCTCCCCGGGGAGTCGTTGATGAGATGGGACCAGGGCTCGATGAGCTCTCCGAAACTTTCTTTTTTTGTGCTCATTTTTATGAGCTCTCGGAGCTCGAGCCATGAAAAGAAACAAAAAATAAGAGAATGGATAGAGGGGAATGGATGGAGAAACTAATTGAAAAGAGAGAGAAATAGAAAGTGTATTGCATATTTGAAATAGTGGGAAGGACCATGAGATAGAGAGAAAGAGCATATGAATAAAATCCGAAGGAACACAAAAAGAGCAGAAAACAGAAAAATGGGGTATTTGTTTTTGACACGAACATGCCGAGAAAAACGAATTGAATCTCGTGCGGCTTGATTGATTGGTTCAATGTCCCGCATTTTCATGGAAAAAAATGGGAAAGAGAGAGAGAGAAGGACTTCCTTTGTCTTCTTGGCAAATTTAATTTTTCGAGAAATGCTTTATATCGGGAAAAGTATACAAAGTGTGGATTGAGAGAATCAGAGAAATCTAAAAACATTATTCAATGTTTCATGCCTTCTACAACCCTCGAATGGTTATGTGGATGTTGATGATTCTTTTTTATCCCTGAGAAAACATTTTTTAATACAGAACAAATTCGGCCAAACTTTGAAGACTTTTGAGAGTTTTTTTATGCGGGAATATGCATTTTTGCGTGACGGTGTACAGTGATCGGTGATTTCATTTTTCTCTTTTTCCTGTGGCTACCGTACTACTTTCAAAAAATTTATCGGTCGCAGCCGAAGCTTGTAACCGCGTAGCGCAGGCGGTCGGGACGCGGCACTTCTAATAATTGATCCCAAAGTTTAACTTCTCACTTGATCATAATTTCAACACAGTTTTTTCCAAACCCCTATCTTTCTGAATCAAACTGATTTTTTCTACATGGTTCTTTATAACTTCAATGAAAGTGAAAATTTATGATTTTCGGTTGCATTCTTGCTGAGATGATAATAACCTGAATTTTTTATTCGATTTCTAAAAATGTCGCGAAACTGAAAAACAAATTGAAAATCACTGAAAATAATTTACAGAAATCTTTTTTATGGATTGATAGCAGGGCGAAAGGAGTATGTGACGTTGTCATGTATGCTCCAAGAAGATCGGCATTCTAGAATGCTCAGAGATTTCGATGAAACGATCTTAAAGTTCAACCTTACAAGAACAATTGTCTGTTCCTCCAACTGCTAGTTTTGTCTTCAGCAGAAAACAGAAAGATCAACGAACCAACATCCCGACAACTTCTGAACATGACATCACACTTTTAAAGCAATAAATTCTCTGATCAATTGATCTTCCTCTTTTTCTCTCAATTTTTTGGTCTTTCTTCGGTCTTTATCAATGTGCACTCTGACTCTCTCGACGGTATAAAAAGCGACCGTTGACTGACAATCCAGTAGTGAGAATATTGAAAAATGAAATCTGTTTTTCTTATTGTTGCTTCGGTATTCGCTGTTACCGCTGGACCGCTTCTTGGTGGATTATCTGATAGGAAGAGTATACTGTAAGTTGTGGTATAGATGTCTAGAAATTCAGTGAGAGCATACTTGTCAAATTCCGGGCCGACCCGGTGACCCGGCCCGGCCCGGACCGGTCGGGATAATCTACCCTTACAAAAATGTGAAACTTCAATATTTTTCCGAAAATTTAATGAAAACTTCGAAAAAGTTGCAAAATTTCAGAATTTTGACATTTCAGAACCTGATCCGGGCCGACAGGGACGGGCCGGGTCGAGCAGGTAGGGCCAGTGACAAGTATGAGTGAGAGTAATTACAGGGTGCAGCATGAAAATCATTTCCAGAAATCAACGAACAAAACAATGGAGGAGATTATTTGGTTCCACTCAGGGTTAGCTTTGGTAAAAAAAAGAGTTCCACCATTTCCATTTCTTCATGTCCTGAAAGCTCAAGTCCAAGTGGTTGCTGGAACCAATACCATTCTTGAGTTCTTAGTTGGAGAATCCACATGTGCCAAGAAAGGACCAATTCAAGCCAAACAGATCACAGCAGCCAACTCTCCACTGAAAGCTATTGGGCAACGTGCACTTTACAAGGTCACAATCTGGGAGAAGATCTGGGAGAACTTCACTCAAATCACTGCAAAGAAAGTCAGGTATGTTAAGCCCTCCGAGCAGTTTTAATATGGCGTAGGAATGATTATACTGACCCGATTGGATTTTTTTGTTTGTATAATAAATGTGTTTGTTCATTGATTCAAAAGTTCATAACAAATTTCGCGATTCGGTGATCCCATTGACTTTGTCCATCTCTCTGTTCAATGTCAATTATCAAATAGTGTGAATTTTCGAAGGTCTAGGGACAAGTTGAGAACACATTCTGGTGGTTTTGAGTTATGGAGTTTTATTTCTCGGAAGGGTAGTTTGAGGGAATGCAGGGTGACAGTTTTTTGCTCCATTATCAGGGAATAAAAATATGCAAGGGGTGCTAACTTTTCAGATTTATCTGTTACTCTTTGAATCGAACAAAACCGAACAAATTTGTGCAATTGTGTGCCAACAAAATGTCTGGGATTTTTGCCGCGCAAACACATGATTTCGGTCAGCTGTGGGTTCATTGATTTACTCTGCCGATTCCGTATATCCCTCATTAACCTTCGAATTCAAATTTTCACAAATTTTGTCAGAAACATGAAGCAGCAAAAATTCTTTTAAAGTTTTGCCGTTATGTCTCATTATCGTACCTCAATTTTGACCAGAAAAACCGTTTCCCCTGCAATTTGACCTATCTGACGTGTTTTCACTGTTTTTCCATTCAAAAACGATTATCCACATATCCTAAATTCAATCTCCTAAAAAATGAGTTCCCATAAGCCTGTCCATAAAAACAATAATAAAAGTACAATGAAAACTATCAGAGATGATATGTGAGTCTCCCCTCCGTCACATAAATTAAAAAAAAATAATTTCAGCCTCCCCTCTCAAATTGTCAGCGACTACGTTAAAGAGAGCGATGGGTATCAAAAGTATCGAGTATGAAATCTTATGAAGTAAAAAGGAACAATTAAACTTTAATTTCAGATCCAGTTCAGAGAGCCATACAAACATTTTCTGGGTTGCGTTGGATTGGATGAGCGGGATTGGAATTTGAGCCGTCCTCGTGCAGATCTTCGATGCAACGCCTTATCCCAGCAACTCACCTCAATGTATTCAATTGTAAGGAATACAGTAGTAAAAAATTGGCACCTATAAATTTTCAGACAAGTAAACCGGATTTCTTCAATGAAAACAAAGAAAAGGACACCGAAACCAAGGAGGGTGTTGACTATTTTGGTGATTTCGATCGCGAGATCCGTCCTCATTTCGAAAAGGCAATTGCTGCTGAAAATCAGTATTACGATGAAATGAAGACGAAGATGCAAGTGATTCATGATTTTTATACGAATGATTTTGAAGCGAAAAAAGCGGAATTCGCTTCGCTGGGGCCGGAATTGGAAGCACTTCAGAAGAGTCGTCCGACGGATCCTGAGCAAATTCAGCAAATGGATAAAGTCATGAATCGATTCACAGAGTTACAGAGATTGGTTAGCAATGCATAGTTTCTAAGCTTCTAGAATCCTATTCCAGCTGAAAAGTATGATCCAACCGGGCCTAACTGCAATCCAATCCCAACATTTAAAATCGATGAGGGAATGTATGGAGGCTTATCAGAAGTTGAATGATAACTGGAGTAATTGCTTCGTCTCGTTTAGCAAGTTCAAACCAAAGCTCACGGCGAAGAGAAGAATCAAGGATGAGGAAAAGGGAAAGGACAAGGCAGACAAGTTGGGAGAAGATGATCGGGATATTTGAAACGAACTGATTTCATTATTTGATTTAATGAATGTATTTTGTTTGGAGGGATTTATTATTATCTGTTTTGCTGCGAACGCTCAAAAAAGTGATCGGAAAATATAATCACACTTTCAGAGGTAGGTTAAAAATAGAAGCAGAAGTTCTATAATACTGTACTTATACATGCCCCCCCTTATAATTACAGCAAAGAGAGCAGAGAGTTAATCTCCTCTATGAATTCCAATTTATATACGGAAACTTCTCAATATTCACACAAGGTTTCAGTTCATAAAATTTAAAATATAGAATTCGGTTGATTGAACGTTCTCATGACTAGTGTGTCAGATCGAATAATCAAAGGGTAACTGCAACCACATCCTAATGTACACATATTGAAACAGCCATCACTATGGTAACCTGAACAAAAATTTTAGAGAGATAAATCCTTTGAAATCAGAAAAATCACATGGCAGCTTCTAACTCACTCTCATCTCAGTCTTTCAAACGAATGTTTGCTGTTCCATAATTATTTTCAATTGGATAATTTTTTAAAGCTTTAGTAACACGTGCATGTAATGAATTTCAGCTTCTGTTGTCATTAAGTCTTACGCTTTTCCTAAAGTCCTAGAATTTCGTGGAGTAGAAAAACTTCCCATACCAGCTGATCCCATTTTTGATAATAGCGGAGCCTCTCGAAATTCAGATTTTCTGGTTCAAATTGCAAGATAGTTTGAGAAGTTTCTCATGATTACAATTTGAAAATCCAGAGTTTTCACACCAAATATGTCAAAAAATCTGCAGTTATCATCTAAACCCGTCGGGTGAATTTGAAATTTTATTACTGATTCAATAACGTATCAAGTTTTGCACACTAAAATCAATCCCAATAGTACATCAATGATAGTACATCAAAGTCCCATTAATTCTTGCATATCATGTGCTTCCATTCCCATTATCAATGAAGATCCACCATCAACCACAATTGATTGTCCAATGATATAAGATGACATTTTGCGATCAGCAAGGAATGCGATGACTTGGACGATTTGGTCTGGTTGAGCGACAGCTCCATATGGGATGCATTCCTTGCGGGATGACATGAAATCCATCATCTGACAAAGAATCCAGTGTTGACAAATCCAGGGCTGACGGAGTTGACACGAATACCGTGACGGATGAGTTCGACGGCTGCACTTCTGGTGAATTGATTCAGTGCGGCTTTTGGCATCGAGTCATAGAGGAATTGGGGATTCTGAAAACGAAATTTTTCAGGAAATCAAGGAAAAAAGGATAATCGAAATTGCCATTTCACATAGTTTATTTCTACCAAACTAGAATCTGCATATATTTTCCACCAGACATCTAGCATCACATATTGTGTTAATTGAAGATTTTCAAACTAAATAAAAAGACAGCTTGGATTTTGTATTTGACAGTTTTTTTTGTGAAAATCATTCAAACGAGATAAACTTCTGGATAGTGCTAAGACTCTGATTTTTATGCAATTTCTGAAAGTTTTAGAACTAGGTGGGTTTCAAACGGTTCAGTCTCATCCAACAAACCCTACTTTGTTATATTAGACAAAAATCTGTGCACCGAGCTAGTGGCCTAGAATCCCACTTTAAAGGGGGGCTCCGACCAAAAATTTTTATTGCATTAAAATGTGTTAAAATTTATCTATTTTTCAAATATTATTGCGAAAAAATTCAAAGAAAATCCGAAATTCCCGAAAAACGGCGTTGAAAAGGAAGAAAATTCAAAAAAAGGTGCCGCCGGGGGGACGAGGATTTTCAGTGAGAAACATAGGCCACGGCACCTGACAGCCTTTTTTTTCAAGTCGCCGACAGTGGTTTTTTACGTTTTTTACCTGCCGGACATGAA